ATAAAATTGAATGAGGTTTTAACCTACAAAAAAGACCTCCATTTCATTTTAAAATATACTGTTTCCTTCAGAAAAACACAATTTTAATGCTACTAGCACTTAGATATTTGCACGTGTCTCTAATCTCTATGCATCTGATTGTTACTAGTCACAGTCCATTACAATCGGATCTTTGGCCCCTAAGTATAAAGTCATCAGGTAGATTTCAATGGTAATGTTTTCACCTCTACTCATTAACGTGAAGCAAATATTAAATGTCTTTTTTTTTAATTTATTCATTTTTTTGTGTATATCATACAGAACAGCCCACACAATCTTATTCATCTATATACCCACTTCCCAAATGACACCCTCCCAGATAGCCTCCCCGCTCCCACACACTGGAGCCCATATACTCTGTCATCCCTGTTACTGTCCACTGTGTTTTCAGCATCCCCAGCCATTCCCCAGTGCTTGTCTGTCTGCTGAACCTTGTCAGCCTATCTAGAGATCCTTGTTTTAAGGATCTCTAATGTATTGCCTGCATGTAGGTAAGCACATCCATGTTGTGCAATGCCCATGGAGGACAGAAGAGGCTGTCTGGTCCCCTGGAACTGGAGTTACAGATACTTGTTAGCTGCCATGTGGGTGCTGCGATTTGAACCTGGGTCTTCTGCAAGAACAATGTTCTTAACTGCTGAGCCATCTCTCCAGCTCCTCGATTGGTTTTCTATTCTTGAGGGCAGGCCTTTGGCCTAGTCACCTCAAAGACCCAATCTTCCAGCACTGTGGAAGCACTTGGAGGGGCAGACATGCAGACTAGCATTATCAGTAGGCCATTTGGCTTTCTTAACACCTACAGCAGAACGGAGCCCAGCCTGGCTTTATCCATTTTTCCAGGGAACCTGTTTTCCTCCTGTAGCTGCTACAGGGAAGGCAGCTGCAGTTTGTGATAGGCTCTGTCAGGTGTCGGGAACAGGCAGTACACCCCTGCTTTCAAAGGACAGCAGACCCTGCCTTAGTGAGTGATGCTCTTTTATTGTTTTTTTTTGAGACAGGGTCTCCCTGTGGCTCTAGCTGACCTGGAACTCACTGTGTGGACCAGGCTGGCCTTGAACTCACAGAAATACGCCTGCCTCTGCCTTCTGAGTGCTGGGACCAAAGGCGTGTGCCACTATGCCTGGCCCGGTGAGTGATACTCTTTGTGTTGCTTCCTAGTTGTTACAGGTGTCTGCTTCCTGGACCATTGGGAAAGGCAGCAAAGAAAAGGGAAATACCAGAAGCATCCTTGGGGAAAAGAGGAAAATGGAACTGAACTGAATGCCTGTTGGTTGGTGTTTAGAAGCTTAAAAGTATGCACAGCTCCAGAGATTGAGGTGCCAGTGTGGGCCACCTAAGGGCAGATGAGTGTCTCTCATCTGGGACTGTCCTCATCTCTCACGCATTGTACTCAGCTGGGCAGAGAGTTCCTAGCACAGGTAAATGTGGCACTCTACTTATTTTCAGAAAATATTAGAGCTTTTGGGTCAAGTTGAGTTTTTGATTCATTGTCTGTAGTTTCAGAACACTGCTCTTCCCCATAGGAGAAGTTAGTGTGCACATGTTCTGAAATACTGAGCTAAAGTGACCTTTGAGACAATTCGGACTTCTTTCAGATACCTTCATGGAACTCACCTACCTGTCTTAAATCTCTGGAATGGAAAAGTAGTTTCAGGGCTGGGGATAATGATATGGCTCAGGGTGGTTTGCCTAAGCGTTCACGAGACCCTGGGTTCCATCCTTAGCACCACAAAGAAAAAGAACAAACAGTTGATTTGAGGTAAGCTGTTTGAGGTAGGGGAGAGAGACAAATATTTTGACACAGACTTCCACTCATTTGTTACCACCTTGTTCCTGGTGACTCACAGCAGAGCTCCCAGCAGAGCCTCCTGGGGTATGCGGCCCCTCACTGAAGTGATTGCCTCCCAGAAGCTCCTCCCTGAAGCTCCTTTACTGCCCACATGCCTCCTCCTGAATTAATGTATCATTTTTCTATAAAACTGTAGAGAATTATTTTAAAATATAACTCTTAAAATAATGATCACTTATTGATGTATTACTCATTGGTTGATATTTTTTGAATAATCAGTATTAAAGTTTAAAGTTTCTGACAGTATTCAAGATTGAATCTAGGACCTTGCACATGCTAGGCAAGTCTTTTTCCTTTTTTTTTTAAACACTCGTGTGTGTGTGTGTGTGTGTGTGTGTGTGTACACATTCTATGGCATGTGTGCAGAGGTCAGAAGACAGTTTGTGGGAGTTAATTCTCTTTTACCATGTAGTTTCTGAGTATCAAACTTAGGTTGTCAGGCTTGGTAGAAAGCCCCTTACCTGCTGAACCATTTTGATGGCCTTTTTATTTTGAGGCAGAATCTCACTGAATTGCCCTGGCTGCCCTTGAATTTGCCGTTGACCAAGTAGGTCTGGAATAGTTTTTTGGCTTTTGGAGACCTGGTCTCATTTCTTTTTCTTGTTTTTAGTATGTGCATGTATGTGCATGTGTGCATGTGTGTACCACGTGCTTGCATTGTGCGTGTATGCTCATTTGTGTGTGTGTGGGCTCGTGTGTGCATGTGCACATGTGTGCATGGATGTGGGGTCTGGAGAGAAATATCAGGTATCTTCCTTGATTTCTCTTCTGTTATTCTTTGAGGCAAGGTCTCTTAAACCCAAAACTTACTAATCAGCTCTGTCCAGGAATCCTGCCCTCCCTGTCTGAACTTCAGGCAGTCTCCATGCCCATATGGTATTCACATGGGTTCTGGGGATCTGAACTCCAACCCCCTAGCTTGTGTACTGACCATTTCCCTAGCCCTAGGCCTTGAACTTTATTGTTTTTACTTTTTTTGTTTATTTTGTGCATGTATGAGGTCAGAGGACAACTTCCTGTAGTCACTTCTCTTCTCCTGTCATGTGGGTTCCAGGGATTGAACTAGGTGATCAGACTTGGAGTCAGGTACATTTGCCCGCTGAGTCAGTTTCCCTGGCAGTGGGGACTGCAGGCATGCACCTTGAGACCTGCCTTCCTCATGGCTCTTTACGTTAGGTGTCTTCCTTCATTCGTGCTGCTTGAGGAGCTGCACTGCTTACCATTCATGTTTTTCTTTGCTTATACATACAGAGATCAGTTTCAAGAATGGGTATTTGAAAGCTGTTTCCAAGCCATAGGCTTTCTCGAAGCTGAGTTCATTCCAAAATATTTCTCCCTTCAAATCTCCAGTGTCCATTGGATTTTTGCCAAGAAAAGGTTCATCTGTAAAGTAATTCTACATGAATGTAGATCAGATACAATGATCCAGTAGGAGGACCAAAGCCCTCAGTGGTGACAGAGCCTGGTCACTGAAGGATGAACGGGGAGGAAGAATTCTTTGATGCCGTCACAGGTGAGATGAAAGCAACATGACCCTAAGACTGAACTTTGTGTGGGAATCTGGCATCTGGAGTGTAGGGCGTGGTCAGGCTCAGCAAAGCAAGGCCAGGGGAGTAAGTTACCTGACAGAGGCTTTTTAGAAAGACCGTGATGTCTTGTCCGAAATGAGGGGATTGAAGGCATGCACCACCATGCCTGGCCAAAATAAATCTTAAAAATATTCAGAAGCCAGATATGGTGGTGCACGCCTTCAACCCCAGCACTTTGGAAGCAGAGGCAGGCAGATCTTTGTGAGATGGATGCTAGCCTGATCTACATAAAGTTCCAGGTTAGCTAGGGCTACTTAGTGAGGCCCTGTCTCAAAAAATAAAAATAAAGAATTTGCATATCTTCAAGCATCTGTTGTGGAGTCATTCTTGAAGGTCGGTTTTTATCTCTTCCAAGTCTAGTGATGATGACCATTGTTCTGGTCTCTTACAGGCTTTGATTCGGATAACTCTGCAGGGGAATTTCCAGAGGCAAATAAGGTCAGTGGAATGATCGACTTGGATACCAACAAGAGCACTAGAAGTGGGAGAAATGGGGAGAGACCCCCAGAGGAGAATGGAATCCAGAAGCACAGGTGTGCTGTCATGCATGTTGTCTTAGAGCTTTTCAGAGTATATCTGTGATCACCCCATATTTCTACAGGACACTCCCTTAAGTGTCGTGAATATTGAAGATGGAGTACCTATCCCCAGTTCCAAGCTGGCTTTCCAGTGTCCTTGGAGGCTGGATGCCTGTCCACCAGAAGCCTGAGACCATGCTTTACTGAGATATGCTTGGCTGGTGGCCTTGTGGAGATGAGTGTGTGATGACAAGAAGTGTCCTCATGTCCTATCTGCATCTCACCGAACATGTTGGTCACTGGCCCTGTGAAGGCTGAAAGGCTTTGATTAGCTTTACTATGGCAGAACCACATTCCATTCCTCCCACCAACATGTGCATTTTCATGCACGTAAACTCTGATGACAGTGGCCATCATAGGAAGTCTTCAGTCTCTCTTAGGAAAAACAGGAACACACAGGACCTGCTGTTGGGTAGGGACGGTCCATGGGGTATGGGCTTCTGGAAACATGTGCTGAGGTGTGCTTGGCCTCAGGAGGCTCTCTAGCCTCGCCCCTCTGCACATGGGCCTACTTACTTGTGGGGTGGGTCCCCTCAATGCCCAGAGTGTTCACTCTTGTCCCTCATTCACATATTTAGTGGATGTAGGAGCACCTCACATGGACTGTTGGGGGTCTGGCTAAGGCAGCTCATGTTCTCTCAGGACCTCACTGTCTCCCCCTCGGTGTATTGTACCTTTCGACCAGACACCAGCCGTGAGCCCAGGACTGCTGCCTTTCTTCCTCTCGCCCTCCTCTGATGCTTTGGCCTTTGTACCAGCTTTCCCTTGTTTCTTCCTGCTGGGCACAGTGGTTCTTCTCACAGTCAGAACTGCTGGTACCAGCTCCATCCTCTGCCCAAAGCAACTGTGGATTGGCCTCACACCCAGTCCCAGATGGTCCCCCTCTGCTCACAGAAGTGTCCCGTCTTGGCATTGAGCTATGTGCTTGTTCTCCTCTTGGAATGAGAGCCAACATCCTCACCTTGTGCTCGGACCTGACCTTGTTCACTCCTCTGGCTCTGGGTCCCCCAGGGCCTTTGCCTTGCGTCCCAGCTGCAAGATCTCATTTGGAGGTCTTAGTACATCTGGGCCTGGGCATACCTAGACTCCTGATCAAACACCCTCTTAGCCTGGAGCCTGCCTTCCTCCTCCCTGTCTTAGCGCCTATGGTTTCTTGCTGGCTTTATCCTTGGGGCCTAAATCTGACCCTCTGCAGAGCACATCCCTACCTCTAAGAGCCTGCACTTCGCCATGTGGCAGCTGGTAGAAATCCATAGCGTGCATAGCATTCCAGCTATTTCTGGCACCCTGGTGCCTGGTGCTCAGTATACATTAGATTTCTTTCCTGTTTTCCTCAGAGCTACCATACCTTCCTCCTCTCTCCTGCCCTGCCCTCACAGGCCCGTCCTGAAGTCTGCACTGGGTGAGAGCCCTGCTCTTACCATCTCAGGATTGAAATGCTCAGTCAGGGTTCTACTGCCCCACTTAGAGCAGTGTTGTTAGGACTTCTGCAGAAGTCGAGCGGCCTCTAGGAGCTCAGAGCAGCGTTGTTAGGACTTCCGCAGGAGAAGTCGAGCAGCCTCTAGGAGCTCAGAGCAGTGGGGGCGTATCTGAGGGCTTGCTCCATGTGCCTTCTTTGCATCCCTGTTCTGTGGTGAACTCCCGGCAGCCTATGGGCCATAGGTTTTCCCACAAGCCAGTTGGATCTCTACTGAGGGCTTCCCCTTACCCCATGGAGACGATGCTTAGTGTAGCCCACATAGCCCAGGAGCAAGCTATGGTCCCCAGGTAACCAGAGTAGAAGTTGGGGCTGAGGTGAGAGCAGGGCCCTTGTTGGATAGAGGATGGGTGGGAACTGTACCTCAGGAAGATAGGTCTGTGTCAGGGGTGAAGGGCTGCCTTTTGTGACCTATTTTACCCTTGGCAATCTCGGCCCTGTCCACCATGCTGGGGTTGGGCAACAGGAGAACAAGAGAGGGGCTTCCTTCTGGATACCAGCCTTGCCCCCTCCTCAGGGAAGGGAACAACAGCCTGGTCACCGCAAGACAGGGGTCAAGACTCCAAGACCAGGGCCAGGAGTGGTGACACATGCCTTTAATTCCATCAGTTGGGAGGCCGAGGCAAGCAGATCTCTGTGAGCTCTGGGTCAGGTTGGTCTACATAGCCTGTTCCAGGCCAGCCAGGGCTACGTAGTGAGACCCTCCCTGTCTCGGAAAAAAAAACGAGCGACTCCAAGGTTGTGGTAACTGTTCCCAGGAGGCCTTTAAAGCAGTAATGCAAAAACCCTGTGAGACTTTAGCTATGACCTGGCTTTTCTCCCAGGCATACTAGTTTGGAGAGACTGATGTTTAGGTCTGAAAGCTAAGAAGATGGCCTTGAGCGGTTTCTGTGGGAACCTCCTCCACACCCTCCCTACATACACCATTGGATAACAAGTACCTGTTGCTCTCACGTTCCTCACAGGACAGCCCTTCCTGCCCCCATGTTCACCAGAAGTGATTTCAGCGTGTGGAGTATCCTGAAAAAGTGCATTGGCCTGGTGAGTGCAGATGGCTCATTTGAAGCATGATGCTTAGTGCAAAAAACTCCCATGAGTCTTTGCACTGTTGCTATCTAAGAAAGTGTACTGTGCGTATTTATAAACAGCATGGAATTAAGACAGGAAGGCAGGGGAGAAGCAAGCGCATAGGGGAAGGAGGAAAACTACATTACCCTGGACAGCATGACAGTTCTGCAGTTAAGCAGGTGCCAGGAAACATCCCATAGGCTCTTCCTCCCAGTGCTGAGTAGGCTCCCCGGCCACGGGCTGTGCACCTCTGCATGAGGCCATTGGGCCCTAGCGACATCCTAGACTGTCGACAGCCTTTATCGAGTGTTCGGATTTTGTGACAGGAAATTAGAGTGTCTCCTAGCCATAGCCTCTCTTCTGTGATGTTCTCTGACTGTTAGAACCCAGTGTTCCTGTATGGTCTCTGGCACATTCATCCATGGATGAGCACCTGGCAGCAAGAGCAAAGAGTCGAGAAGTCCACCTTGCCACTTCTCAGGTGTGGCCATCTGCGTCCTGCTAATGCCATCTCCTTGTCTATTTCCTTTCTTCCCAGAGGAAACTTTTTATTATTTACTTTATTATTATTATTATTATTTTGGTCTTTTTTGAGACAGGGTCTCCCTGTAGCCTCAGCTGTCCTGGAACTCACCATGTAGACCAGGCTGGCCTCGAACTCACAGAGATCCACCTGCCTCTGCCTCCGGAGTGCTGGGATTAAAGGTGTGCGCCACCACACCTGGCTATTTTTATTATTTTTAAAAATATTTTATGTATTATTTTTATTTTATGTGTTTGAGTGTATTGCCTGCATGTACGTGAGTGCAGCTGTGTCGTGCAATGCCACGGAGGTCAGAAGAGGGCTTCGGATTCCCCTGGAACTGGAGTTAAGGATGGTTCATAGCCACCATGTGGGTGCTGGGAATTGAAGCTGAGTCCTCTGCAAGAGCAGCCAGTGCTCTTAACCACTGAGCCATTTCTCCAGCCCCTAGTTTTATTTATTTTATTTGTTGAGACAGGGTCTCTCCCCAGCTGGACTAGAACTCCCTATGTAGACCAGGTTAGCCTCAAATTCACAGAGATCCACCTGCCTTTTCCTCCTAAATGCTGGGATTAAAGGCATGTGCCACCACGCCCAGCTCAAGTTTTTATTATAAAATAACTTCAAACTGATAGAAGGTTACAGATTGATATAGGAGCCAGCATTGGGGAGGTGGGGGGAGCACAATTAGAGGAACACACAGAAGCCAGGGCTCTCATCTCTGCCTTTGTTCAGGGCTGTGTGAGTCTTTCACTGGGCACCCTAGTTGCTTGATTGTTCTCCCCATCACAAAGTTACTGCAAAGTTTTCCTATTCTTTGATGGGTGATTGTACACAGGGGGATTATAGAGGCTCAGTAGTTTCTTTTTTGGTCTTTTTGAGACAGGGTTTCCCTGTAGCCCCAGCTACTGGGAATTGAACCCAGGGCCCCATGAGCATTCTTCCACTGAGCTGTTTCCCCAACCTTTGCCCTATTTATTTTATTTTATTTTTATTGCGGGTGTGTGTGTGTGTGCGTGTGTGCGTGCGTGCGTGTATGCGTGTGTGTGTGTGTGTGTGTGTGTGACAACAGCTTGTAGGAGTCAGCTCTCTTACTTCACCTGAGCTATCCCTCCAGCCCTCTTGCCCTATTCCCTTGCCCCTCCAGCTGAGGACCGAACGCAGGGCCTTGTAGACCAGGCTGGCCTTGAACTCACAGAGATCGCCTGCCTCTGCCTCCCAAGTGCTGGGATTAAAGGCGTGCGCCACCACGCCCGGCTAGTAGTTTCATTTTTGATGTTTGCAGATTGCTTTTATAAGTTCAGTTTTGTTTCAAAACACAGATCCAAAGTCCAGTTCATCAAATACATATTAGTCCCTTTTCTGTTGCTGAGGACACAGTACCACAGACTGAGCAAGCTATAAAGAGGCTTACTTTGGCTCACGTCTCTGAAAGCCCAAGACTGAGGGCCTGCATGACTGTGTGCTGCTAGTCTCTTCCTGTTTTTTTGTTTACGCTACTGGGAATTGAACCCAGGGCCCCATGAGCATTCTTCCACTGAGCTGTTTCCCCAACCTTTGCCCTATTTATTTTATTTTATTTTTATTGCGGGTGTGTGTGTGTGTGCGTGTGTGCGTGCGTGCGTGTATGCGTGTGTGTGTGTGTGTGTGTGTGTGACAACAGCTTGTAGGAGTCAGCTCTCTTACTTCACCTGAGCTATCCCTCCAGCCCTCTTGCTCTATTCCCTTGCCCCTCCAGCTGAGGACCGAACGCAGGGCCTTGTACTTACTTGCTAGGCAAGCGCTCTACCACTGAGCTAAATCCCCAACCCCTGTTGCCCTGTTATTTGGCTGCTAGATTCAACCATGGAGGCATCACCATTGACTTTACATAATCCTAATGTCTTCCCAAGGAACCCACACTAAGCACCGTAGCTGGATTAAGTACTGCCCTCTTAATTCTTCACAGTGAGAATTAATGCATGAAGCCTTGGGAAACACTCCAACCACATCCAGAGCATGATAGTATGTTCCAGGAAGCTCAGTTTCCTGTGCTAATCCCTCCTCAAGTAACTGTCACCTATCCATGGTGTCTGCCTCCGTGCCCACACCCTGACTTCGTGTAGCTCTTCTCCTAGGCCTTGAGTCTATAGGCTTTTCTCTGTCCCTGCTCTCCCTTAGCTGTCATTCTCTAGTGATCACTGCACCTGCCTCGTGTCCCCCACTCCACTCGTTGCCTTGTAGTTGAATGGGATGGCACCTGTTTTGGACATTTAGGTCAGCTCTGGCTTTCAGTTGACCAAAGCAGAGTGCAGTGACTAGTTTTGCATGCTTGTCTGCTGAGGTTCAGGGATGGGTGCCCAGGCATGGGATGGCTGGACCAAAGGAGAAATATGCTGGCACTTTGCTGGTTGTAGGTAAGTTTACTCTGCAGGGCTATGTTTCTGTGCTCCCCACAGCAGGGGTGGAACCTGGCCTGAAGAACCCAAGGCTGAGGGTTTGGAGTGGTGAGTGCTGTGCATGGCATGTGCTTGTGAGCCTGGCCAGCCTCTCCCCTGCTGCGGGTCATCTGTTTCTTTCTGCCCACTGCTGACCTCTGGCCTCCTGGGCTATGGGCTGTGATAGCAGCTTACCTGCATTTTCAGGCATGCGGTGCCCAGAAGGGATGTTAAGCCTTGTCTGGATACGTGGAGATGTCTTTTCTTACCTTCCTACTTCTTGAGTCTCTGTCTCAGTCTTTCCCCTTAAGTCACTGTGCAGCTTATTCCTGAAATGACGGACACAGTCACAAACTTCTTGTTTTTCTTGCTGTTCTTCCACAGGCAACTTCCTGGTGTGGTCTTAGTCACACGTGCCAGAAACACCTGAATTCTAAGTTCAGTCTCAGCAGTTCTGAGTCCAGAATCCCCATGTTCCCAGACACCCAAACACCCTCACCTTGGCATGTAGCCTGAGTGAGGAGCCTCACCAACTCTGGCTCAGGGTTTTTTTAATCTCAGGCTGTCAGTAGGATCTCCCTAGATCAGCCTGGAAGCAGGGCCTGTCGTTTCCCAGGATGCCGTCTCTCAGGACCTGGCCAGGAGGGCCTGTCTGGATGGTTATATACTGTGTGTACTGCCTCCCCAGGGTTCTCTGAGCAGACTGATCATCCTAACCCTCAGGACAGGTGCAGAACCCTGCAAGTCAGCATAAGATCTGAGGCCTGTTCTTGTTCCTGGAGCTTCCTCTGCCCCTGGTCTTTGCTCAGCCTCCTGCAGCCCTGGTTGTCTCCTGGGGTCTTTTCCTTCTGTGTGCAGCTCCTCTTTTTTCTCGCACCCCTCTGCCTTCTCTACTGAAATCTTCTTTCTAGAAGCCTGGCTCTGGAATGGCCCCTTGGGGACCTTTGTGCCCTGAACATGAACACTGTGGAGTCAGGAGCTATAACCTTGCTTCTGGCCTTTGGTGCTTGGGAGAAGGCCTTTAAGCAAGGTCACATTGTAGAGAGGCTTGCTTGATAGCCAGGGTGTTTCTGTGTTATCCTGGAAGGCCATGGAAGCTAGGGGTGAGGTTCTAAAAAATTTTAATTTATTTGTATTTTATGTGTATGAGTGTTTTACCTGAATCTATGTAAGTGCACCATGTGTGTGCAGTACCCATGGAGACCAGAAGAGGGCGTCATATTCCCCTGTGATTGGAGTTACGGGGGTTGTTGGCTACCATGTGGGTGCTGGGAACCAAACTGGGTCCTCTGCAAGAACAGCCAGTGCTCTTAACCACTGTGCCATCTCTCCAGCCCCTAAGGGGGAGTTCTAGTGATGGGAAGCTTGGGGCTAACTCTGCTCATCTGGGAGAGGGAGGGCAGTGTAGTGGCTCTCTGGGTGCTCCTCTGCAATCACTGCATGGGATGCAGATTGGGAGGATCCCAGGCCTGGGAGATGGAAAAGTCTCAGGATTGCCACTTAGAAGGACATTCTGTGTGGAGTGAGGTAGAAGCTGAGGCTCCCAGCAGACGGCTTGCTCACAGAGGGTTCCTAAGACTTTGTCTGATGGGAGTCTGAGGCTCTGGGAAGTGATTCTCAGATCACTCAGAGTGGGGTGGGAAGTATGCCCAGAAACCTCAGGAAGCTGACAGATGTCTTTCTGGGCCCTTCTAGGAGCTGTCCAAGATCACGATGCCAATAGCCTTCAACGAGCCACTGAGCTTCCTGCAGCGGATCACAGAGTACATGGAACATGTGTACCTCATTCACAAAGCCTCCAGCCAGCCCCAGCCCCTGGAGAGGATGCAGGTGGGCACTGTGTGTGACTAAGCATGGCCGGACTCAATGCCCCTAATTGTTTGATGGACTGACCTCATAGTTGTAGAGACCCAGGTGTCCTGCTGGTGGACCATCTGTGAGAAGTGTGTTCTCCACAGGTATCTGGCCAGCTAAGAGGCTCCCTGCTGCCACCTCTCCCTAGGAGTCTCAGCTTCATGGAGTTGGCTTTTCTTTTCTTCAGTCTTTTCAGTGCCACTGCCCTGTGTGTGTACAAGTGCCTGTGGGGGTGGGGTGGGGGTGTCTACATGTGCCTGTATGTGTTTGGAAGCAGGCATGTGTGTGTTTGGGTGAGCACATGTGAGTGTGTGGGCAGAAGTGCCTGTGCATGCACACTTTGTGGGACACGTGCTGCAGTATCTGCAGGGTGCCTGGCTAGACTGTAGAACATGCTGTGACTTTGAGGAAGTGGTGGGTAACAAACAGCATTTTCCTCCAGAAATCCTATAATCTTAAAATACTATGAGCAGAAACTGGGAAGTCAGCAGAGCAGGCGGATCCCCTGTGGGGAGCTTGTTCACTGGCTGTCCTGGCTGAAGTTGTCCTGACCCATCTTTGGATTGTTTGCAGTCTGTAGCTGCCTTTGCAGTCTCGGCTGTGGCTTCCCAGTGGGAGAGAACTGGCAAACCCTTCAACCCGCTCTTGGGGGAGACATATGAGTTGATCAGGTAAGGAGAGCCCATCATGAATGTCTTGCACAGGTGCTGGGGTGACAGAAAAGCTTGATTCTCTCCTTAGTGCTGGCTTCTCAGCTCATGACAGATGCTTGGAGTCAGGAACTACTGAAGTATTTGAATGCTATAGGCAAGAATGTGTTCACATACACGGAATGTGGTGCTAATGAGGAACCAGAACCATGGTGGCACAAGAGAGCTGAGTATAGATACTTAGCACAGTGGGCTTAAGGAAGGAGTTGGGAGCTGGAGAGATGGATCAGCGGTTAAGAGCACTGACTGCTCTTGCTGAGGACCCGGTTCCATTCCCAGAACCCACATGGTGGCTAACAACCGTCCAGTAACTGCAGTTCCAGGGGATCCAACCTCCACAGACATTGCACGACATGGGTGCACTTACATGCGGGCAATACACTCATGCACAAAAATAAGTATCTTTTTAAAAAGGAAGGAGTCATATCAGTTGACAGTGGTACATGTGCACTACATGGCAGAGACATGGGGAATTGCTAGCTTTCAACAAAAATGGAGCCAGTACTGATAAGCAGGATGAGGCCATTTCCCATAGCACTTTGATGAGAGGCAGAGAACCCAAAGAGAAGAGGAGCTACAGAGGTCTCTGTACGCCATGCCTGTGCTGCAGGGTCCCCGGAATGGTTGGCTAGGCCAGAGTACTTAGCCGGACCACGCCTGGTCTGTGAGTGTCTGCTGAATCTCCTTCCATGTAGTTCCTTCTGGCTCTTCTTGGAGCTCCCAGGGTAGGGTGGGCAGGACAGGCAGTGGCAAAATGCCCGTGCATATGGGTAGTGTACACCCCTCCATCCTTGTCTTTGGACCCAGCAGGCCCCTGAGCCTGGACCCCAGGTGCTAGTTCACATGGCTGGTGGCAAGCCCCTGAAGGACTGGATTGAGGGGTTCTCACTACCTGCTTTGCCAACACTTGTTCTGCTGCAGTTAATCAAAAACTGTCCTGGAGATGCTACTGCGGTGAAGCATCCTGACCACATGTCACAGACCACTGGCGCAGTTTGCCTTAGCCTGACTGAGCCTCCAGGAACTGTTGACAAGTAACTGAATGTGTATAGTTCCTAGTGGGCCCATTTGTGCCATTGAGGATCATTCTTAGTCTGCCACATGGGCCCTTTCATTTCATGCTACATAGGTAGCTACCCGTGTAGTGCCTTGTGCCTTGGGAATGCACAGACTGCTTCCTCCTGACCACACCACAGTGTAGCTTAGCAAGTAGAGCTGCTCTGGTAGTAGGGAAGGTTACTGGGGGGTGCCTCAGATGAGGGATTCTCACTGGCTAGCATTGTACTCATCTGCCACAGGATGTAGGGTTGCAGGCGGGGCAGGCTCCTGTATCCTGCTGATACCTTTTCTCAAGGAGAGTTCTGCCAAGATGCCTCACCACTGCCTTGGAGTCTGAGTCAACTGATAATCTTCTGGGATATTTTATTAATATGGAATCTGTTGACTTTTTAATCATGAAAACATTCTTTATGGAATATGGGAAACTCTGGAAAGAGTAGAAAACAGTCTGATGTAATCCCACCAAAGACAGTTGCTGTTGACATCTTAGTAGATTTCCTTGTGTGACTGTGATTGGTGACACTCAGCACTGTGCCATCATCATTTCCCCGATGTTATAGTTTTTCCGAATTGCAGTTTTTCATTGCTTCTAAGACCTACTTGCCCTGTTGCCCTGTTTCTACGTCACAGTTTAATTGGCAGCATGTTTTTCTTTCTGTCATAAAAAAAAGGTATGCCAAGCAATTGACGGCTCTTGGGTTAAGAGAAGTTCAGTTCCCTGGAACTGGTGGTGGTTCCTGGGCCTTTTGTTGCATATGCGATGGATTGATAAGCTTTTCTGTGGTTAGTAGTTGTGGGACCTGGTGCTGGCCTACCTCAAGTGAGGTCACCTTCAGTGTGTGAATGGTTTCACTATCTGTACCTGAGCCTGTTGTCCTGATGGCCTGTGAATCAGCTCTGGTGCTCGTCCATCTGGAGAAATGGTCACTTCTGTCAGTATAGGTCCTGGGCACCTGCCAAGAAACCACACCACAGTTTGGGAAGGTAAAAAACTGCTAGTTTCAAATTCTCTGCTCTTGCCTTATTGCAGAGGTCTACCCTACACACTGCTAGTGAGGAGTTATCTAGAGCACTATGGTGACATGACAGTGGCTGGCAGAGGCCAAGCACCTTCTGTCTAATTTCTACCGTCTCTGAGAAAGTCAGGCTGATCAGGAGAGAGTTTGCTGTGTCCCATCAGGACAGACCACATGGACAGTCTAGCTCCTACACTTGAACAGCACACTGAGGCCCAGATGATGGGGAGACTGACCCCAAGTGTTACTCTTAGGGGCATGGCTTCATCTGAATCCATGAAGTGGGTCCTCCCTTTTCTGGATACTTCTGAGCAGCAGTTACCCATCACTGGTCACCTGTGAGCCCCAGTCACATCTGGAGTGCCAGTGTTTGAGGTGTAAACCTTGTCTAGCTGTCAGGAAATTATTAAAATATCTTGAAAAAGGTAAGACAGAATGGGAAACTTTCTGCATGATAAAAAGGCCACATGAGTTGGATATGGTGGCACACACCTTTAATCCCAGGAAGAGGCCAGTGGATTTCAGCCTGGTCTACATAGTGAGGTCCAGGCCAGTTGAGGCTACAGGGAGACCCTATCTCAAAAAAAAAAAAAAAAAAAAAAAACCAAA